GCTGAGGGTATACATCTGTCGGCAAAACCGACTGATACTTTTTGACTTATTTTTTAAATTTTCAGAAATCGGACCCGTTTCATAGATCCGAAACAGGAGACCTTCTATAGGTCTATAAGGTATAAAAGATTTTATATAGGTTTTTAGGTATATATATATATATATGTATATATATATATATATATATATATATATATATATATATATATAATCGAACATTGGCTGAGGGTATGCATCGGCAAAACCGACAGATACTTTTTGACTTATTTTTTAAATTTTCAGAAATCGAACCCGTTTCATAGATCCGAAGCAGAAGACCTTCTATAGATCTATTAGGTATAAAAGATTTTATACAGGTTTTTTGTCGTACTATGAACTCCTATAGTCCCGCCAAACATGGAAGACTTTCCATGGGGTCTTCTATAGAGCTAAAATGATTAGATCCTCTGGAAGACCTAATATAGGTGTTCTTCTTACTGAAACATTCTAGAGATCCTTGTACTGGCACTTTATGTTTAAAAGACTTTTAGTAACAATTTTAAATATAAGACAACGTCCGTAAATATTTTAGCAATTTTGTTCTCCCACATTTCCATCTACTAAAAGCGCTCCCCAACCTCTCTCGACCGATTTCCAATCATTTATTTTGTTTGCCGAACCATTTAACGCCCTCCCATGTACGACGGAACATTAGTAAACAATCAATAATAAATCTAATCGAGCAATTTAATTTGTCAAAAAATGTTTAGGAGATATGGTGGACTGCAGTGGGCTTGGTGGTGGCCCATGACAACAGAACACGGAACAAAACATTACGAGGAGGAGAGTATTCCGGGCAGTTTGTCATGTTGACTTATATCATAACATATTTCTATTTCTTTGTGGCCACACAAAGCCACACCTATATTTAAGTTGGGCTGTCTTTTCCTTTTTGGCGGAGAGCAAGGAAGGCACAACATGACCACACAACAATGATGTTGCCTTAGTGGCAGGCAGCAGCAACACTGGCTACGACGATGGTGGTGGGATGAAGGCAAAGCCAGAACCTCAATAAGCCAAAAGCAAGAAACCATCAATTTTAGTTACTTACAACATTTTGATGGATGAATGGTTGGTTGGAGGGTTGGATGGTTGTTTCATCGTCGGCTAATGGTCTACTTAAGTTGTGAACTCTTTTTTCCTTTCTCCTCCGAAATCTCCTCCTTGGACTTTGTCTGTTTAGTGGATGAGTGAGTGATTCGTTACCATTGTTTGAATTGTTGGCGTATTTTTTCTCTTTTCTTTCTTGGCTATGATGATGTTTTGTTTAGGCTTCACTAAATGTCAAATTAAATGGAAGACACTTGAGTGAAAACAAACAGATGAACCAACTATCCAACCATCGAACAAACAACCAACCGCCCAACCAGCGAACAAACATTGCAAAAATAATCATTTAGTGTCATGGCATTGTTTCTTCAAGAACAACAACATCATCATCATCATCGTCGTCATCCTCCCATCCCATTATCCTTTCTATATATATATTTATTTTTTCCTGCTGGTGGTGAATGAACCATCACCGGCCATTAGTTGGCCATCATGGCAAACAAACTGCCTTCCATCAAAGTTGGTCGAATGACCACTTGTTTGAGTTTGATGATGACATACAACATATACAGATTCTCGTTACTGCTCGAAATTAAGGGCTTGCAAAATTTCGGGGAGATATGGAAAACTATTCCTTTCCTTTTGGTCATTTTCTTCGAAATATCATCAATAACAAAATATCTACATCCTTCATAAATTGTCGTTGGCTGTCAGAGGCATTATTATTATGGCAAAGCCATTAAGTGGAGAACAGAAATTATAACAAGCAGAAAAGGATTTAGGTTCGAGGTTGCCGAAATTCTGATTTCACTCATTTTAAGGCAAAAAAAAAAGAAAAACATTATCAGTCGGTTTTGCCGACAGATATATTCTCCCACTCTTGAGTTATGATTATTCCAGCTGCTAACCCATTATGGGGGAGGTTCCAAAACAGTTGGTCAATATTGACAAAATCGTATCTGACCTAAGACTGATATATATATATATATATATATATATATATATATATATATATATATATATATATATATATATATATATATATATATATATATATATATATATATATATATATATATATATAATACGATATGCCAGATAGTAGCAATTGTGACCCTATGTGAGTTAGGTACCAGAAGGGGTTGGCAGATATATATCAAATTCACAACAAATCTTGTGCTTGTATGTCTGAAATTTGAGGAGAGTTAGATACTTATTTCGCTTTTTTGAGCGTTTTCAAAATCTTGAACCCTATGTGAGACATGGAAGCAAAAGAAATGGTCTGATCTCTACCATCTTTATACAGATCTTGTCTTGATGGAAATATAGAGATGTACCAAGTTTGGAATGGAATCGGATGTTAATTTCGAGGTACCAGAGAAATTGGACCGATATAATCACATCACAAATCTTGTGTTTGTAATAATAATGGGATGTGTGGAGTATAAAGAGAACCTGATGCTTGTTTTGCGTTTTATGACATGGATATTCAATATTTTGACCCTTTGTAGGGCAGGTACCAGAAGGAATGACCCGATATATTCTATCTTCACAGCATATCTCGTGTTAGTAAAAATAATGGGACGTGTGAAATATGAACAGAAATGGATATTTTTCTCGGATTTTATGATCGTTTTGGTTATTCAAAATTTTGGCCCTTTGTGGGGGAGGTACCAGAAGGTAAGGTTCGACCTCTACCATCTGTATAACAGATCTTGTGTTCATCGAAATATTGAGATGTGCCAAGTCTGAATGGATTCGGATGTTAATTTCGCGGTTCATGAGCTTCATGGATATTCAAAATTTTGACCCTTTGTGGGGGAGGTGCCAGAGAAAGTGGACCGATATATTCCATCTTAACATCAGACCTTGGCTTAATAAAAATATTGTGATGAGTGCAATTTGAAGATAATCGGGCACTTAGATCACATTTTATAAGATTATAATTATTAAAAATGTTGACCCTTTGTGGGGGAGGTACATGATGGAGTGAACCGATATTGTCCATTTTCTCACTTGACCTAGAACTAATGCAAATATTAGGATTTGCAAAAATGGAGCTAAATCGGATTATGGTTTCTCGTTTTGAAGATTTTATACGGTCCTTCTACTCACCCAGGACCTTCAATGCCCTTTAGAGAACTCTCTAAAAATTGAACTGTTACAAGATCTTTTACATGATTCCATTTAGAATAAGATTGCCTATGAGTTTTCTTTTAAGGAAGGTCCTTCCTACGAATTTTTATAGTTAAGAGACCTTAGAGAGGTCTTTTTTGAAGAAAAGTCCATTTAATGTAGTTATACCCTACAACACTATGTGTTGGGAGTATTATAGTTTGATTGGGCCAAAAATTATCTAAAAAAATGATCAAAATATTGATTTCCCACATAGGAAAGTATATATGGATCTTCCTATCTTGCCGAGCTAAGTCGATCTAGCTATGTATGTCCGTCTGTCCTTGTTAATTTGTAATGACTCTACAGGTCGCAATTATGGCCCGATCTTCACGAAATTTAGAATGGAGGTGGGGCTAGAGCCAGAATAGGGGTTCAAATGAACCAAAAACAGAAAAAATTTCCTAATCACACAACTGAAGACTATCGACACGCCAGAGACGAGAGTTAAGGACAGGGAAGAATTCCGGCATTTTGGATGACCATTGAATTATGTTTAGCTGTAACAAACAGCACGACGGGGTGCGTAAAAAATTATCTGTTCAAAATGCTAAGGGTTAAATCTGGGTAGTGCTCAGTGACATAATTTCAAAAGCGAAATTTTCCAAAATGGATTTGGACATAAAAGGGCTTCTAACATTTTGTAGGGTATCGCATTGTCGGCCCCGCACTACTCTAAGCCTATATATTACTTATTTCTATATTTCAAATATCTTCTACAGTTCATCTATATTTGGATATGATTTGGTGATATTGATCTAATTCTTCGGGATGTATTCCAACAATGGTGAATATTTTATGGGCGTTTCATGGATGAGAAAACCCTTCACATTTCTTTAATGTAGAGAGTTCTCTTTATAGGTCTTCTATATCCACACTTGAAAGAAATTGGAATTTGTTGATGTCCTTGGTTTCTTTCCAGGTGGAAATATAAGGTCTTCATTTGATGAGGGAACTTTGGTTTGGATATCAAAAAAAAAAAAAAAAAAACTATCAAATAACCTTTCACCTTTATCCTTTTGTAAATAAACAAATTATTTATATTATTTGTATCGCCTCATCCTTGATAGATACAAATTATGATAAATATTTGCGATTTTTACATTCAATTTTAATTTCTCTCTCGTAACCACAATATTAATTAAAAATTGATTGGATTGGAATTATTAATACATAAAAATTCTCCACATAAAAACAGCACTTGGTTAAGGAATTTACAACAGCAAAATAAAAAGAGAGCAACAATAACAAGTCGAGAAACCAGAGGAGTATTAAAAAATATCCTCTGAATATTTTATTTCGCAATGTTCAGTGAAAATGTTTTGCAAATCATTAATTCATGTTAATTGACACTTGTCAGTTGAGTATTTCATTAACAAGACAACTTAAAAAGCGGGACGCACTAAGGAGAATGCGGGCTATAAAAATTTAATTAGAAAAGGACGACAATTAGATATCCTTAATGAGTGAGTAATGTTACAATAAACATTGCTTCCTTGCGCAATGGCAGGGGAGGTTGAGGAGGAGCCTCGTAAGAGATATTTTTCTGGTGTCTCTGTCAGAGTGTGAGTGACAGAGGTATTGCTTGACAGCCAGGTAAATATAATTAACAATATTGACACAACCGATAAATAATAAATGATTGTGCATTAATGGTTTGGAAATAAATGTGGCATATCCTAAGCCCCATATTAACACTCAATCACCGGTGAATCGTAAATAAATAGATTACTTACCGTAATTTAAATAAAATCCCGTCAATAGATGTCGTCCAATGAATGCGTTTAGTCTGAAATTAAAGCGAAAATCAAGAAAGGGGATTAATGGGCGATTCAAAGAAATGTGTAGATTTTCCAAACAATTTATGTTATTTATTTAGAATTCGAATTTTTCCGAAAAAAACATTATTTTAATAGAGAAAGCCTAAATTATCAACTTTTCGGTAAGCAGAGGGGACTTTTTGCCTTTATCCTAATATGAAACTGCTCGCACTTTGAGCAATCGAAAGAAGTTATAAATGAACTGTAGAAAACATTTGAAAATTATTTCTTAGTATATCAATAAACTATTCTACATATATTTTGTGGGGGAGGTACCAGAAGGAGTGGACCGACATATCCCATATTTACATAACATCTATGGCTTATAAAAATATTATTATTTTATCCTTTGTTAAAAGAAATGTCATACAATAATTTTTAATTGTAACACATATTGAAAATCTTGACCCCTTGTGGGGGAGTTATCAAAGGGAGTGGTCCGATATATTCCGTGTCTACAACAGATCTTGTGTTGATTGAAATATTAAGATGTGCCGAGTTAGAATGAAATCGGATGCTCATTTCCCGTTTAATTAGTTTCATAGTTATTCAAAATTTTGACCCGTTGTGGGGGGAGGTAAAATAAGGAGTGGGCCGATATCTACCATCTTCACACAAAATCTTGTGCCAATAAAAATATTGGGAATAGTTTATTTTGAAAGGAATCGATTGCTTATTACATATTTTATGAGCATTTTGGTTATTAACAAGTTCGGCCCGGCCGAACTTTGAATACTCTCCACCATTTGGAACGAATTAAAAAATTTTCAAAAAATAAAATCCATTAACTATTCTGTTAAAATCTTTAAAATATCTAATATCGGAAGGTGCCGATATATGGGGGATATACGATATTGTGGGCCTATATAGACAATTACCTTTCAGGGATTAAAGTGCTCACAAAGAACTTCTTGTGTGGATTTTAAGACAATCCCATAGGAAAATATGGCTAAGATCATTAAAATATCGAATATCGAATAAATATATTATATGGAGGATATACGATATCGTTCACCTATATAGAGAATTCTCTGTCAGGGGGTAAAGTACTCACAATGAACTCCTCGTGTGGAATTTCAGACAATTCCATTGAAAAATGTGGCTGAAATCATCAATATACCGAATATCGGGGGGTACCGTTATATGGGGGCTATATGATATCGTAGACCTATAAAGATAATTTTCTTCCAAGGGATAAAGTACCCACAAGGTACTCCTTGTGTGGATTTTCAGACAATTCATAACAGCCGATGGCCGCTCTCCGTTCGTATTAATCGACCGTGGCATCAGAATAAATGCTGAAAATAATCTGGAGGGTGTATTAAAGCAAACATTTTGGCCGCAGACCATGGACATTCCAACAGGACTCAGCACTCAGCGCCACCCAAGAATGGTTACAAAGTGAGGTTCCTCGCTTTATTTGCAGTGTCTGGAGTATTTTAGAGAACAATGTTGGCACTAAAAAATACCAAAGTGTTGATCACCTCAAGCAAGCGCTTCGCCGGAAATGGACCAAAATACCGCAAAGCAACATTTGGGCAGCGTGTAACGGTTTCATTGCCCGTTTGAAAGCCATAATTCGTAACAAAGGTCACCAATTCGAAGAAATCTAAACTTAATCTAAAATTTGATGCTATATCCGACACTTTTTGCTTTAAAATTAAAAATATGGCGTTTGACTTTGTTATACCCTACACCACAAGGTGGTCAGGGTATTATGTCTTTGTGCATTTGTTTGTAACAGGCAAAAGGAAACGAGATAGACCCATAATTCCTTTTGATGATCTGAATAGAATCACATTGTGAGTCGATTTATGTATGTCCGTCCGTCCGCCTTTCCATGTATTTCTGTAAACAAAGTACAGTTCGCATTTATTGCCCTATCCAGACGAAATTTTGCAGAAATTATTTGTTTGGCCCAAGGACGAACTCTATTGAAATTGGAGATAATCGGTCAAAATTTAGATATAGCTCCCATATATATCTTCGTCCGATTTGCCCGAATAGTATGGAATTTTGCACATACAATCAAATTAGACCTGAAAATAAGTATGCCAAATTTGATCGAAATCGGTTCAGATATAGCTATAGCTCCCATATATATTGTTCATCCGATTTGTTATTTTTGTCCTCCACAGCCGTAATATGCACTCCGTAACAACAATATTGGGGGAAATATATCAAATACAGCTCAGAAATATCTTTGCCAAATTTTATCGAGATCGGATATAGCTCCCATATATAACTTCGTCCGATTTAACTTTTATTGTGCACCAAACGTCTAATATTTGTCCAAATGGAATGGAATTTGGCACTTACGACCGAATTGAGTCTAGAAGTCAGTATGTAAAATTTGGAGAAGATCAGTTCAGATATAGCTATAGCTCCCATATATACTGTTCATCCGATTTGTTATATTTGTTACCCACAACCGTAATATTCACTCCGTAACAACGATATTCAAGGAAATATATCAAATACAGATCAGAAATTTCTTTGCTAAATTTTATCGAGATCGGTTCAGATTTGGATATAGCTCCCATATATATCTTTTTCCGATTTCAAATTAATTGTGCACCAAATGGCAAAACAATTCCGACTTTAAAAGATACAAATGCTTCGGCATATTTTGTCCTTTGAACTTTAAATTATAATTATAAATCATAGCGTGTATGATGGAATTCTACCATAAAAACTTTTAATTGTTATGTGGAGCTCTACTAAATTAGCAAAGTGGTGTAGGGTATCATAAAGTCGGTCCCACCCGACTTTAAAACTTTTACTGGTTTAATACTTGAGAAATTCTTAATTATCTGAAACGTACGATGAACCGAAGGACCTTTTAGCCCCTACCCAAAGGGGAATTGCCCTTACTGTTCAATATAATCGAGATGTGTGGATTAATATTTAACCTGTAATTTTACAAGAAGATTTTCTAAAACACACTTAACTCTTCCGTCTCCAAAAGACCTCTAAAAGGTTTTCTTTCTAAAGAAGACATTAAAAAGTGTGATTTTTCAAAACACCTCGCAGGAGTCTTTTTTTGCAAGAAAAAGAATTAGAAAAAGTTATCATTCCGATTGTAACACCTCTAAATATTCGTCATAAACCCCATAAAGTATATACAGGGTGAGATAAAAAATTCAACAAAGTCAAACGTCATAATTTTAAAATTTTTATACGATCCATTATTCTATGGAATGTATATTTACTTTGTCATTCCGTTTGTAACTCCTCGAAATACTCATGTCAGAGCAAACAATGTATATATATTCTGATCAGCGTAAAATTCTAAGTCGATTTTGCGATGTCCGTCTATTCTTCTGTCTGTCTGTCTGTCTGTTGTAATCACGCTATCTTTCGAACGAATTGAGATAGAAGTCTAAAATTTTTCACACATGTTTATTTTTCATGTAGGTCCACGTTTTCATAAATCCCCCATATAACAGTACCTCCTTATATTCGGTATTTTGATGATTTTAGCGACATTACTCACCGGAATTGTTTTAAATTTTGTATTTGAAGAGCGAAATGGATACTACAGCTTATGACAGAAAATTGTCTATTCGTATAGCCCCTATAACGGTACCTCCCAATATTCGGTATTTTCATGACTTTAGCATAATTTTTTAACGGAGTAGTTTCAAATTACGTATTTAGACTTCGTAGTGGGAACTACAGTCTGTGATACAAATTTTTGTATGCAAGTTCAGGTCTTCGTATAGGCCCCATACATCAGTACCTCCCCATATTCGGTATTTTGACGAGTTTAGGTACAATATAAACCGAAATTGTTTGAGATGTCGTATTTGATGTTCGTAATGGATGCTACAACCTGTAGCAGAAAATTGTCTATGCTGGTCCAAGTCTTCGCACAGCTCCGATATAACGGTTCCTCCCTATATACGATATTTTGACGATTTTATAGCTACATTATTCACCTTTTATTTCAAGTTTCGAATTTGAATATTGTAATGGCTTATAACAAACAATGCCTACGTAGATCCACGTCGTATAGACGCCAATATATTCGGTATTTTTAAGATTTTATCAGAATTTTTAACAGATTTTATTTTATCATCAAATTGTAGATTAAGTTTAGATTTGTTCGAATTGGTCACCTTTGTCAAGAATTATGGCCTTCAAAAGCCCAATGAAATCGTCACGCGCTGCACGAATGTTGCTTTGCGGTAATTTGGCCCATTCCCGGCGAAGCGTTGTTTGAGGTGATCGATACTTTGGTATTTTTAAGTGCCAACCTTGCTTTCCAAAACACTCGAGAACCAATAGTTCAACGGATTGGTATCCCGAGATTTTGGCGGCCATTGTGCACTGGAAATGAAGCGAGGAACCTCATTTTGTAACCATTCTTGGGTGGCGCGTGCTGAGTGCGATGGCGTTGATTCCTGTTCGAATGTCCCAGGAGGTTTGCGGCCAAAATGTTTGCATGCCCAAGGATGTATCAACCTCCAGAATATTTTCGCCATAATATTCGGCATTTATTCTGATGAGGAGTGGAGAGCGACCATCGGCTGTTATGGCGGCCCATACCATCACCATGGCCGGCACATGAGTTCAGCTGACCTCTTTGGCAAGTAAACACGATCATTTTGTATGTTTACAAACTGCTGGACAACGAATGTTTTCTCATCGGGGAAAACCAAATTCGCCAGTTCACCACTTCCGGCCAAGCGAAGCAACTCTTTAGCTATTTTTAATCTATTTTGTTTCTGTTGCTGTTGCGATGTAAGTTCTTGCACTTTTTGGAATTTCAATGGCTTTACCCTGAACTCATTTTTCAATATTTGAATATTGCGATATGCTCAGCTCACGAGCCATTTTTCGGCCTCTGCCATGCGGGTTTCGATCAAGTCACTTCTTTACTTTTCGAGCCATTTCTGTTGATGATGCTGTTTTCTTCCGTCCACTTCCTTGACGTCGGGCTACGCTTTCAGTATCACGGTAACGA